ATTAGACTAAAGTTTTATCTTTGTCTTTCAATAAAAATATACATCTTTTTTTCTCTTCTTCGTTGGGCTATAAACTATTTATCCAGTTTTATTTTATTTTTTTTCTTCTCCTTTTAAAAGCTGTTTCAGTGATCATTACATTTCTGTTCTTTCCTTGATTAGGACCTAGTCTTTTAGCATATTTCCACCATTTTACATCTGTTCAAGGTCTGTTTAAAATAATTATTCATTACTTCTTTCTTTGTTCGGGTATCCCAAGAAAATTGGGTGACAAGGTGTAAATTTACAACATTTGATGTGATTCTCAGTCATAATTTTAAAGTCAGTTATATTTAATTAAAAATGAGTGGTTGTTTGGACAATAACAGAGGAACTTATGAACATGAAATTAACAATTTGGTACTGTATAGTATAAGATGGTTGTTTTTACTGGTAAATAATGAATCATAAGTGGTTAATTGCACTTGAAAATACCATGCTTTTGATGATGACTTTTCTTGCAAGTCATCAGTATATGAATACATATAAAATATATCTTTTTTTTGAATGAATCCATGACTGGGGTGTTAAAGTACTTATTAAAAAAATCATTCTCTTTAGTGTATGAGTGATAGAGAATTATTCTTAAATTACTAGTCCAAGTCAGTTAATGCAACATTGCAAGAGGTTTGTTTAAAGTAGAAAGCCTCATTTTTAAATTGACTGTTTACAGTGCCACCAATAATGTAATGAAAGCCCATTGCTATGATTTTCAAGGCAATCATTAGTTGTATTGCATTATACTAAATAAAGTTTCTTCTTTTGGTTATTACTCTTTAGTTTTTATTACATTTATACTTCAATTAAGCTTAGGACCCCTAGTTGGTCAACAGTAAGTTTATGGACTTTCAACACAAAAATCTAAGGCTCAGTTTCATGCAGTGAATAGAGACCTTTCATTCAGTACCAGAACTTGTTGGTTGGACTGCATGATATGAGACTGATGTTTCATTGAAACACTATTTATATATGAAATATAACATTTTGAAAGTTATGATTTAAATGTCTAAAGAGAGCAAAGCATTGGGAACCAGTAACACGGCTTTTTTTTTTGTATAATAATAATAATCATGAAAACATCAGATGCTTTTTTTCATACAATCTTCTTAATTTGTCCATTTTGAATATCAAATTGAAGGTGTGTAAATATAGCATTTCAGATCTGTCTTTTGTTTCCCACATGTCAGTGCTCAAGAGGGCTTTTGTTCAATTCCAGCACTCATCAGTTGTAGAAAAACAAACCATCTGCAGTTTACATTATTCTTATCACAAAAGCTACATTTATTTTTAAAACTGCTAAGGGCTCCTGTTATTTCATTACAGAAAACAAAGAAATAACAGAAATGTAGACTTCATTGTGAAAGTTATTTATGTATAAGTATGATTGAAATGTTTCTGGAAGAAAGTTACTATTTGTACATTTCCAATTATTTATCGAGTTTATTTTAGCATTTTATCCTTACAGAATTGCACATAGGTGTTTGTAGCAGTATTGCCTCTTTGTGAAAATGTTTTGTTAGTTTGAATATGGGATTCTTTGTAGAATGTTTCACTTTAGCAGCAGATGTGGATATTTTACGTCTTAGATTATGAAACACAGGCAGTTATTCTAGAGGCAGTCTTTCGACTCAGTAATCCATCAAGTAGAAAGTACTGGGCAGAGAAATGGTTTCAATCTGATCAACTTGGAGAACAGTTTTTGTACTTCAAACCTGACCAGTTTGAATTGGTAAGTACCTTTAATTCTATACCTAAAATATGTTTTTTTTTGATACAGAAAATAGGGGTAAATTTTACAGTATTTGTTGAACTCTTCATGTAGCTGTTTTTAGTATGGTGTAATGTGTGCATCAGTGTTATTTTAGAAAGGTTTCAAAAATATTACTTCTATTGTTGGAATAACTTGTCTTTCAAGTTAATCCTAAGCCTATTCAAACTTTTTTACAGTTTCTGTTTTAAAAATAATGCTAGCTACCATAACACTTATAAGGTTGAGAAGATAAAAAAATATTCTAAATGAACTGACTACTTAATATTGCATCTGTGATGACCTCATGAGATACATTGTGTTTAATGTATACCTTCCATAAATTATACTAATGGACCAATTATTAGGATCCCCATTTAATATCAGGATGCCTTACTGCCACTACTGGAGTTTAGATTTGGTAAGAACTCCACATGATGCCAAAAGGAATTTTGTTTAATTGTCGCTTCTTCATCAAAGATTATGGTCTGTTATTGGTTCACAGGTAAATAATTGGGTTGCTGAGTGCAATTTAAAAAAATATTTTCTTTAAGCAATCGAAAACTTAGTAAAGCTTGCAAAAAGGAATATATAAAAACTTCCATTTTTCTTTCATAGCCATATTGCAGCCATACTAGAGCTATAGTATTGGAAACTTGTATGTACAATTGTACCATTTATTACCATATTATAAAAACATATATTTTTTACAGTATTTAATACTTAAAATGGTTTTTTTTATTGTTTGAGTTGTTCAAGAGTTAATCAGGATCCATTTTCTTTAGGAATGCAGAAAATTTCTGAACACTTTGAATAGTACTCAAGGGAGCAATAGAAGGTAAAATTTTATTACATATTTACTTGATATTATAGAATTGTATGTAAAACTCTTAATTCTGGGACAATACACACAATTAAGTTATCTTCTTCCTGCATCTGCCTTAGAAATTTGCATGCCACTAGCCTTTAGGTAACTCCCACTAGATTTCATGAGATTTTTGTGAATTCCATTAACTCCTTCTACCTCTTTGTCTGACCTCCTTTCTTTGCACTGAAGTTCTGGAGGTATTCATGATTTCATTGAATCATGGGCTGAGGCTGTTCGTTGTCAATATTCACTTTCGTCCTTTGTTTCAACTCTGTCCGAAACCAAACCCTCCACCATTGTACCTCGACTTAGTCTCCAGTTTCTCATCTTTTGATTCTCAATTCCCAACTTTCCTCTTTTTCCCAGTATCAGACTTATTGAGCTCATTGGTGATGATATATCAAGTTAGATTCGGTGGGTGCTTGGCTGACTAATGATTTGAGCTCTTTTGGTCACATCTTTCCATATGTGGGTTACCCTACATTTTACCCACAGACTTTCAAATTATCTTCCCCTCATCCTCTCAGCCCTCATTTTGTTTCCTGTTTATGATCCCATCTATGCACACTGTCTTGAGGATGCAGTGATTGTTGAAACTTCCAAATTTTTCCTCACTCCTACTCCATATCTTATTCACCTGGGAGTGTTTTTCGACTCATTTCTCAGCTGTTCTCATTCTTCTCCCATATGCTTGTGAGCTATGGAACTACTAACCACCAGGATTCATGCCTATCTTACTCATGCTGCTTGAGAGGGTTTAGTGTTTGTAGACCATGGTTTCACTGATGATACTTATTCGTTTGGGTCACACACATATGCACCTTCTCTGTTGGTCCTTGTATGACCAAAGGAACCTCTCATGGGACACTTTGACTTCAATAGTTCATCTGTCCCATTCTTTCCTCAAGAATCTGTATTGGAGGTTGGACCAATCCAAAAACCACCATGTTCCATTACCTCCACCCAAACCAGACCTGCATCTCTTCACTGATGCTTCCCCTCTGGTTGGGGAGCATCTCTAAATGACAATTTCACAGTTGGCACACGAACTCAGGACGAGTCTGTCAGGCATGCTCCATTTCTTACCCCTCCTAGTGAATCTGATCATTTTGTTACGATCTATTCCAATGACAACTCCGTTTTTCCTATATCTACTGCCATGGGAGAATCTGATCCAGGGCCCATCTTGCTTTTAAACCCTGGACCTTTCTTATTGGACCAATTATCAATGGGTTCATCTCATTGCCTGCTGTGTACCATGTGCTGTGAACCTTGTTGCAGACTACCTCTTTTGGTTGGACCATGTTCTGCCACAGAATGGGCTCTTCACCCCTAGTTTTTCCATTGGGTGTCTAGTAAAAGACCTTTCTTGTATGATATCTTACCTCTCTCACAAAAAGGTTTTCTCGACTTATACTGTCTTTTCTCGGCACAACTTTTTGCTCACCACTAGCCTTGATACTTCCACTTACCCTCACATATGTTAACGTGAGATATCTGTATACTAACATGCAAATAATTATGTAAGAACCCGTCACCAATACGAATGCAACACTATCGTAACTAGCGCCCTCTCTAATCTTGCAGTTGTTAACCACTTCTCACCACTAGTCTTGATACTTCCACTTACCCTCACATATGTTAACGTGAGATATCTGTATACTAACATGCAAATAATTATGTAAGAACCCTTCACCAATAGGAGTGCAACACTATCCCTATCGTAACTAGCACCCTCTCTATTCTTGCAGCTGTTAACCACTTCTCGATTGGCAGTCCTTTTGTACAGGCGTATTTTTCGCTCGCGATTTTGACTGACTTACATAAAAGTTTTTACTTTCTTGTTGTTCAGGCCTCTCAACTGCTTTTCTAAATTTTGCGTACATTATTTAATTAAATAAAATTTATTTAGTGCATCAGTACCATCAGTATAAAAAAAGTAGGGTTAAGCTTCAAAAAAGAAGACTTGGGTAAGTACTTTATTTCTTGTTTTTCACATGTATTCATTATTATAACAGTAACTGAAATGTAAAAATGAGAAACATTTTAGGTTAGATAATGTTAGATTAGGTAAAAGAAAGAATAATAATAGCTATAATATTAAAAAGATTTATGAGGTACATTTGAACGACTGCCGAGTAGCCCGTGTGTTATGTAATTTGATAGGGTATTGTGAGCTACGTGTTAACGAAGTGAAAATTTAAGTAGAAAAAAAAAAGATGTATACTGTTACGAGTTTAAAGCTATTTAGGATAAACAAATGTAGTTTAATGTTACAATATGGAATCATTATAGAAAGAAAAAAAAGAGTAATTTATGTTTGTTTGTTTTTTAGGTAGTTATGAGGTCAATCAAATTGATCAATCTCATATAAAGTTAGGGTAGAAAAATACCAGGTAAAATATAAAGCTTTACTGAGAAAAACAATTGAAATTTCCATAAGAGGTTTTAGAGATCATGCAAATAAAATTTAAGATTTTTCAGATGAAGAAAAGTATTTTTAATCTTAACATTGAGATAGTTAATTAATACCTGCCTATCTTTATTAGATATAACTAAACAAATTTTACCATAGCTAATACAAAAACCTATGGCAAGTCAATTTTTTGTATATATATATCTACAGAATTAACATATTACTTATCATATAATTAATAATTCAAACCATCAATATTTGGAGAAACTCCATGATTACAGAATTGAGGTAAACAAAGACAACTGTACATTTTACAAATGCTTGTGAAACATACAATTGTCTTTGCTTTCCTCAATTCTATATTACTTACTAGGACTTTTACCTTATAACAGTGATTAAAAATTTCTCATTAGACAAATTATTTCCAGATGTTTGTAATTACTTCACATTTATATTTATGACAAAGCTAGTAACTCTCCCTGCTGTCATTTTTAATTCTCTCACAATGGGCTTGGCTAAACTGGCCGAGCTCGTGACTCCAAATTGACCTTTATAGTTTCATAGTATAACTTCTAATTTTTTTTTTTGTATCTTCACAAAATTTCCAAAGCTTTCAGTAAGCATTAAGAGTTACTTGCAGACAAAAAACATAAGAATTTTTAATGAAAAACTTCTCCACGAATATATGGAGTCAAAGTGTTGACTTCTTCGAGTGCAAGATAATTTTTTTTTGTTTCTTTTAATATAGGGTGCATTCATTCATCTGTATGTCTATTATTTTTGGTGGTTACAAGGTGCGTAGTAATTTGATATCTAATGTATAGTAATTAGTTGTATACTTATTAACAGATAAATAATTGTTTGAACTTGTACTTGTTGATATTTTTAATGAAAGACAAGCTATATATGTATATAAACTAAAACTGTCATTGCATTGATTAAAAGCTATTTTACCACAGATCATTAAAAAAAACATTATAGAGTTAACAACAAGCTATTTTGCTATAACAATTACACTTAGATACAGGGACATAAAGCTAGCCATAACCAGTTTATCAAATGGAAAGTACATAAGACAGGATGTTTGTAAACTGTAGGCAGTTTGTTACAAGATTGTTATACATACATATTTGATGCATTCATACATCTCAAGAAACTGTTATGTTTGAGATCAAAAATACAATTTCAAAATACTTATTAGCTAACTGTCTTAAGGAAATTTGATTGCTTTAATTCTAATTGCACAAAAACGTTTTTATCTTCTTATCATGTGTAAAACGAAATTTAGAAAAAGGAAATGAAATTTTGTCTTATGCCTCTGATGGCATAATAAGTGGTGAATATCAGTTCATAGATTTTTGAGTCAGAGACATAGCAGGAATCTGTTTAAAATTTTTAAAAATTGTTACATTTGACTTTTTTCAAAATTAAGTTTCTACATCTTTTAGTTTGGTTTAGCAAAACATTGACAATTAGCTTTTTTCTCTCTTTTTAGAAGTTTGAAACCACATATGATACTAGGATGTTTTTATTTGAATAAGTTATTTATTTGTATACGTTCAAATAGAATGTTGATGACTGTAAAATATAGTTAGAAATAAAAAAAAAAAATAATAAAACAAGGTGCTTAAGTTTTAAACAACCTCCCACACAAAGTTTAAATATAAATACTAGAATAAAACTTAGAACTGCTTGTACTCTGTCTCAGGTTTATATAGTAGAGAAATAAAAGTATTCTCTGTAAGTTATTTAGAATACCTAAAACTTTCAGTTGTACTCTATGTGTATGATGTTTTTATGGTTGGTATCACTGTATTCATTACTTATAAAATTCTCTAAGTTATTTAGAATACCTAAAACTTTCAGTTGTACTCTACGTGTATGATGTTTTTATGGTTGGTATCACTGTATTCATTACTTATAAAATTCTCCTATTATCTAATCATTTTAGTTTAAAATATTTCGCAAACATATTTGTGAAAAATGGAATCTGGAAAAAGGAGGTCAGACATCGTGCATCTAGCGATTTCATCATATTTGTTTTTATAAGACGTTACAGTCTGGTAAAATTTTAGTTGTTGGATCCTATTTTGATTGTGTCATACTGGAGCCTGTCATCTAATACCTTAATGTTCACCTGCCACTAGTGCACAGGTAGCATTTGTATACTATGCAGAAACTAAAACATATAACAATATCAACACTTTTATGAACGACATAAGTGTAAGCATTAAGCTTGTAAATTCTAAGACTGGTTTATTAAAAGGATCTGCTTGAGGCTCTCTTTGATTTTTCCTGATCAACCTTTAAGTGATCTGTATTTAGTAAATACTTTTCTCATTCAGTACATACAGTTATTAATATTTAGATATACAATAATAGATTGTAGACCTATAAGCAGATTAATTATGAAGTCTTTGATTTTTCCTGATCAACCTTTAAGTGATCTGTATTTTGTAAATACTTTTCTCATTCAGTACATACAGTTATTAGTACTTAGATATACAATAATAGATTGTAGACCTATAAGCAGATTAATTATGAAGTCTTTGATTTTTTGAATTTAAGCCTAATTTTATGACTTCTATTTTAATAATTTGTAGCTGCACTAATTGGAAGTTAAGGTGTAAAGCTACATATAAAGGTGATATTGGTTGGTAACGTTTGGTAAACGTCCTGTACTCTATCCGAAAAAAGTTATCATTTGTACGATTATATTTGAAATATACTTTAAAACTTCTAACAAAGATGAGATCAGGAAATTTTTATTTTTCATGACTGAATTTGTACCTCCTTTTTAAACAAATGTCTTTGGTTGGATATGGCCTAGTGGTTTGTGTAACACCAGTTAAAGTCAAAAACAAAAATCTTTCTCCTCACTTTGGGACCATAGATGCAGTATAAGAAAGGCAGTCAAATCCCACTACTTGGTTTGATGTGAGTAGACTATTGGTTTGTGATGGTGTTGTATATTATCCATCAGATAAAAGTTAGAGGCACCAAGTTCAGGTAACCCCTGTGTAGCTTTTCAATGATATATGAAATAAACAAACAAGCAGTGTGTATTAAAACACTTTTTATTTTAGTTAGAAGATAGGAAACCAGTTAGAAGTCCTAATAAAGTTTGTGTTTTTAGATTTAAAAATTGCAACCATTTTAGCTGCTTGAATTTTTTAAAGATCATATTCATTCAAATATATGTGTATATATATATATAATTAATTCTTTTAACTAAGTTGTGATATTCATGTTGACACGTAGAATAGTATCACATGTTTAACACCATTCTTATCATTATGGTCTAATAGTTAATGAATAGATTGTGAGTCTGAGAATTAACTATTTCCATCCTGTTATCACAAAACCTGCTCTTTATGCTCCATACCTTGGATTTGTTATAAAAATGATAGTTAAAACCACTATTTGGACAAAAAGAGTAACCTAAAACTTTTCATTTGGTGTTGTTGACCAGTTGTCTTCCTTTTCATCTGTCAGTTTCAAAATTAGGGACAGCTATGCACAGATAACCCTTGTATCAGTTTGCATGATAATTCCAAAAAAACAGTAACAACAATTTTTATCTCCTTATCCAGGCTTGAATTTTAATTTTAATCTTACTTTTGCAAATATTTGAATATTTTTTCTGACTTTTTGTCCTGTAGGTAGTCTAATTAGTTTATAGAAGGAACTGATGATGTTCTCCAAATTCATTAAACAGTTTTTATTAAATTCTGATTCTTCAGTTTATATATTGTACTCCTTTCCAGGACAATTTTATTGAACAACAAAATTGAAATATAGCCACTGCTGTAGGATTTTTAAAATGATACCCTAACTATACATAAGAAAAATTAACTGTAATTTTTACTAACAAATTTTATCAGGGTTTGTTATCAGTCACCTGTTTTAACTAGATTTAATAACGGAATTTTTTCAAAAATTACCATGTTGTGTACATACTATTCACAACCATATATTGATCATAATTAAGAATACAATACAGAAAAAAATTTTCAAATCCTTCGATGAGAACTCAAAAAGGTTTGTACATTTTTTATATTTTCAATTTGAAACTTTTTATTGCACAATATGTTGATGATAATACTCGAAATATTCACAGTCTGAGAACAAATAATTAGAAAACAAAAATAAAAAATTTTTAATTAAAATAATCCCATTCTTTGTGTAAAAAACACTTGTAATTTTAACAAAAATCTTACCAACTGTTGTGAAAATACATTAAGAAAGTTCGGAGTTGTCAAAATATTGTTGCACTGTGTAGCATTATCCATACAAGATATGGAAAATGGACTTACATCGTAACCACAAGGTTAAATCAGTTATCATATACGTTATCACAAGTGAAATGATAAATTTCCTAAAGTATTTCTGCATCAAATTACTCGTGAGTCCACAGAGTAAGGTTGCTTAAAGTCCCCAACTCCCCAAAAAAATATCAAGCACAAATATCATTAATATTTCAGTCAAAAGTTAATCTCATTATGTCTTTTAAACATAAAATGAGTGATTTCTCCAAAGTTTCTGGTAAACTATTTATCATGATAGTTGTAATAGGTAGAACCATGAAATTATTCAATTTATTTTTCTTTCCTATCCTTTTTCCACTATTACTTATCATAACACACATCAGGTGGAGTTCTTAGGGTGTCTGTCCTTAGTAGCAAGATTTTAGCTGTTCTCAGAATGTTGGGACAGTTGCCTACTACAATAAGCTTTATGAACTGATGCAGTTTGGCTTATATTTTAAAAAATTATTAAACCTTTCTAATGTGCATTTTAAAACATAATTAACTGAAATAAAAATTAAACATAAATAAAACATAATTGTTTGTTTGAAATTAAGCACAAAGCTACACAATGGGCTAGCTGTGCTATGCCCACCACGGGTATCGAAAACCCGGTTTCTAGCGTTGTAAGTCCACAGACATACCGCTGTTCCACTGGGGGGCAAATACAATTGTCTATCTAACTAACATATTTATAGGTGAGAAACAACTTTAGAATGTTAGCAAGGAAAAAAGCAAAATTCTTCACACTAATTTTAATCTAACTGTTGGTAGATAGTATTTCAAAATGTGGTCTTTCTATTGGTTACAAACATCTGGCTCAACTAAGTATAATTGGCTGAGAAATTGTAACTATGTGTTGAAAGTGGTTGTGGCATCTGTCAAGAGTCCTAAGAAATTTATTTCTCTTTCCTCCCAACATCCCCCCCTAAGGAACTTGAAAGAAGAATGTGTAAACAGAGCGATTAACCTAGATCCTTTCTATATATGGAAGGTTTAGTATATCCAACTCATTGTCAAGATAGAAAACCTTAAAGTTAAAACTTTGAGTCAAACTGAAGGTTAATAATTTTTCTTTTAGGTTTCTTTTGAAATAAAAGAATTAAAACTTTGAACTAGAATGTAAATGTTAATGCTAATTTCTTTGGTATACATTAATAGTAAGATTTCTTAATTAAGTTCTGAATGTGACCTGCACAGTACAGGGTTGCTCGTAATTATAGCATTTATGTGTTGGTGTTTTTTTTTAGGATACAAAAATTTCTGTAAAGCTTTATGCTTCTGTTATATAACAAAGAGAGGTTTGTGTTTGGAGGCAGAAGATGTGATTCATCATGACAGGTTAAGTTAAGCCAGTTAACTTTTGATATGATGACACAGGTCTTTGTTGAAATAATATCCTTAGTTCTCCTGAAGAAGAATAGTCAACTATTTGAAAGCGCTCAAGTTTTGGGTCTTATTTTAAGTCTATTACACATTGTATACCATATGTTTTAAATTTACAATTTTATCAGCATATATTTTCATTTGTAGTATAATTTGGTTTTGTGTGTGTGTGTGCATAAATATACACACACCACTATTTATAAGCAATAGATTAGTTTTTTGATAGGTTCAAAAACCATATGGTTCAGATCTGTGGGTTGATTTCAACCTGGATGGTCAGAGTTTATCATTTTACTGTGCAGACCTCAATCAAGATGAACAAGTGAGTTTTTTTTTCCCTTAAGTTATTGATTTTCAAAAGTTATGAGTTTCTAGTATGAAATTGCCAAGTTTAATATAACAGCCATGTAATTTTACTAAGTGCTTCATAAGTGAGTGTGAATTCCTTGGTATAAATGTCTATTTAGTGTTGAATAAAAATCTAAGAAACATAACGCACCAACAAACTTTTTACTCTGTTTCCACATTCTAAAGTCTAAATGTTTTCTGGTGTACTTATTATTAACTGCTTGAACATTATGAGTCTAAATTTTTTCTCGGATGATTCAAACACACATTTGGAAAAGGAAAAAAAAAGGTATTGAGAGCCTATGTTATGTATATTTTTGTCACCCTAGGATCTGTTGAATATTGTGCTTATTTTAATAAGTTGTTAATTGTTTAAACACTTCAGTAGGTTTGTTCTCTTGTCAATGAAGGCTTATTACCATAGTTTTGTGTTCATGTGTGAAAGTACACAAGAATACAACAAAAAACACAAAAACAACTAAAAATGAAACATAGATGAGAGAAGCTTAAAGATAGTGTAGATTATTTTTCTAACTCAGTCACATGTTCCTTTACTCTTTGTGAAATATACATATTTTATTAGATTAAAAGGTACAGTAATAAGGTACTTATCATACAATCAAAAACTTTATTTTTAATTACAGACATTTCAGTTAGACTTTGTAGTTATTGTTGTATCAACATTATATTTTAAATTTTTACATTTGATCGTTGTTTTTATTATGTTAATGATTTATTAAAGTTGGATTCAGTCCACATGTTACCTACAAATACATGGATGAGCTCATGGGAATTTCAGCTAGAAGTAGATATAAGCTAACTAATCTATCTGAGTCTTATATGTGATTACACAGTGAGAATAACAACTACCTGATACTTCTTGAAAACTTTAAATAAAATTCTTGTCTCCAGAACTCCAGATTATGAACTTTTTATTAAAGAAAGCCTCTTCATTTTCAGTCATCATCTAATACTAAGTAATAACATCAACTCCTCCATGTTGTCTTTAATTTAACCAATAACAGATTCTCGTTGTTTTTATTTGATTATTACTATTTTAGAGCTGCAGTGTCTGTATTTATATTTAATCTTTTCTTTATAATGTCTTCTGTTAACAATGTTATTAAATCTATGTATGCCTCATGTTTATCATACATTTCATTATATTGTTACTTTTTAAATATGTTCTTTCTAAGTTTCTGACTGTATAAGAAAACTACTCGCTTAATAGCTAATGTTTATTTTTTGTTAGTTAGAAGATTGTGAACTAACTTTTTTCAGGTTTTAATGCTAGTGTTAAAATTTGAAACAATTCTGAAATGTCCGTAATCAAAAATATTTTTTGGTATTACTGTGTTTTTTAATATTTATTATAAAACTTCATTTTCCACCTGATGAATCAGATGCCAAAACTTGATTTATTTTGAAGTTGTTACTTAAAGGTCTAGTATGTCTTTTTTTGTTTTTAATAGAAACTAGAATATTAACTATTGGTATATATGTAATTAAGACTCATGATTTACATTTTGCATGTATTATAAAACCTATTATGTTGTTGATGTACCCATGGAACAAAATATCTCTAATATTAATATTAATCTTTTTGATTAGGTGTCTAATTCTCAGAGTTTATGGGAAACCATCATGTTGGAGAAAAACATTGTTGCATACTGTAATACTGCTTGTAAGTTTATTCTTTCAATATTGATTATGTTAATTTTTTCCTACTGCTCATAGCACCTTTTGAGCAACCTCATTTATTTTCACATATGTATTTGGTATTTTTACCCAAATATGATGTAGATGTAAATTTGTATGCCCCTTTTATCAATAGGACTGACATTATCAACACATTCTCATGTGAAAACATGGGTTCAAATAGTTACTAAAATGGCTTTGAGCACAACATGCCAGTTTCTGAGAGAATACTCACTATCACACACAGAAATGCTATTTCCTTTACATATCAGTCTGTAAGATTTGCATGTCACTAGCCTTGAACTTGCTCCTATCTAAATTCACGTGTTTAATGTGAACTGTGCTGGTGCATTATGACATCATTTTGCAACAATACAACCTCCATGTGCAGTAAATTCCCCTGTGCACTTGTACACGTGATAACTTCATTCTTTTCCTCAGAATTACATTGAACAGATGTGTTCAGCTTTCTCGTTTAAGTTCAGTTTGATGAGATTTGCATTTGTTAATGAAACTTTGATTTGCATTTTCTTTATGTTTTGTTGCAAAAGTTTTAATTTTTATCGTGAATTTTCAAGTGATAGTTATTTCAACTTTGTCCTGTGTGGGTGATGTGTTAGGCACACAGGCTTTATTTTTACTTTGGTTTTGGGAAGCTGTAGACTGTGGAGGGTGTTACTATCATTGTACTGTGTGTTTTGGGATCCATCATGCATGCAGGGCCTTCTATTCCTCTCCATTTCGCCAAAATCCCTTCCCCCTCAATTTGAGGTTGAACAAGAGGAAGATGAATTTGATCACCTGTTCCCTCCACCTGGATTTGGTTTGGGTACCTCCATATAGGTCCAGGAAAATCCTCAACCTTCCACACTGTTTCAGGATTTAATTTCTCAGGTATGTTCCTTTCATTCTCTCGGGCCAAAGCAGCTTGGCACCAGTCCTCTTGACTTTCTCTGGTTTCATGCCTATCACAACCTCGCTCTTCCACTCCTGTTCCTCAACTGGCTCGGTCTGTTCCTGATCTAAAATTGACCAACATTATTTGCAACCTTTGGTTAAAGTAAAACTTTTTTTTGATTCAAAATTATCAATGGTAAATGTGTCATGATTTAGTGAAGAACATTTACTTAAGCTTAGCTAAGAATATATATTTTATGAATCTTTAACAAGTTAAAAGCTGGTGTTTTTATTAGTTATGATTAAAGTAAAAGAATACAGAAAGTAAAAAATCACTGCAATACAGAAGAAGATAGTAAACATTCTAACTTTCACTGTGGATATTCAAAAAATACAAACTGAGTAATTTGTTTAAATATTTTTTATGATGCAGTCATTTATGAACTATGAATTATAAACTGGATTTTCTATTTGAATCCTTCTTTGCTCAAATTAACATAATAAACCTAAGATGTTGAAATAATAAAACATATGTTAGTATAACAGTTTCTATATAATACTCATTTTTTTCAACACTTATCGCAACTAGAGAAACACGTTTATAAGTTTCAAAAACACAATTCCTCATTAGCTTAGCAATGCTTACTAAGTAAGGGGGTATAAAAAAAAAGTTAGACTTTGTGGTTATAATTTTAATTTTTAACATTTTATCTTTTTTGTTTTATGTTAATAATTTAAAGTTGGAGTCAACCAAGAATACCAGTTGGTTAATATACAACTTCACCGACCATGTACTGATCTGATTGGAAATAACACAGTTCCATCACTTCACAGACGGGAGTTTAGTATCTGTGGTAACAACGTATTGCTCATGCTTCCAGAAGATGCTATTGTTCATTCATTATTGCAGAATATATATGGAGAATTGTATCAGGTATAACCTTTTTTAGCTGAAAATCATTGGTTAAAAATAATTTTTTATGTACTAAGACTTGGTATTAAGCTGACATTTTATAGGAATTGGAGATATAAAGGTAAAAAAAAACTTTAAGTTATGAGTTTGGAAATTCTGAAAACCCAGTATACATGTAATTATAGATTAGTTTTATTTCCATGCCAGAAAGAAACAGACAAAAAAATTTTATTTAAAGTAAACCAGATAACATTTGGAATGCTTTAGCTTGGAATTTTAAATGTAGTCATCATTAACAGCTAGAGGCTAAGATTGATGGTATCTAGTCTTTCTTTCAAGTTCACATAAAAACAGTGTATAATAATGCAGCATAGAAATTTGACCTGTCTTGAAGTGTTGTTCTCCGTGATTGAATTATATATTTATAAACGGCCGAACTGCTACTTAAATTCACCCATTTAACATAATTCTGTACGTTTATTTTATAATGCCCACTGCTTGTAGACAGTACTGTAAAGAAATATGTTTCATGTATTGATATATCCTAATGTTTAATTATGTTGTTTGATAGGAATAATATAATAAATCATGAATGTAATTGCCTGATATAGAAGTTAACTTCGAAGTGGGATAATGTGATAAAACTTTTCTACATTACCCTTAACAAAAAAAGAGAACATAAATTTGTTTTACTGTTAGGTATTGAAGTTAATTTTGAAGTGGGTTAATGTTTTCTGCATGATGTAGTGTTATATATATCCAGTTTATAACATTATCTTACACACTGTTATATTAATCATAGTAAAAAATATGTAATCAAAAATATTTGTAAATCATGTTAATAAAACCCTATAAAATCTTAGTGCTTTTGATAGACCCGCCTGTCAAAAGTTCTTAGGTTTTATCAGGTTTTTTTTGCCTTCACAATACTATTTGGGAGGCATTATAGTTTTGCCTTGTCCATTCATTTGTTTTGTCTGTATGACCCACAAGTATCAATCTTGTGAAACCAACTTCTCAAAACGTTTTCAATATATTTTCTTAAAGCATCAAAGGAATGCTGTGTAGAAAGTGTATATGCATCATATATTATTTGGGTGTAATTTCTTTCAATATTTTATGACTTATGATGCATTATATTCAAGAAGGGAAGTGTATAAAAAGAGGATCACTGTTGTGAAATCAATCCCTGCTACATTTTCAATCAGATTCGTTTGAAACTTTACAATAATGTTGTTTAGGAGGGGGTAGATATGCATAGTGCAGTTTCAGTATTTTGATATTTATGCTACTTTCAGCTTATAGGGGAAGTTAAAAGGATTTCACTCCTGTTACATTTTTCTTTAGATTTACTTATCATTTTATAGAAATTCGATGACGAGGAACCCACTTTGAGATTAATAATGGCTGGAGACGGC